CCTGGCATTTATTTATTATTTTTATTTTGTGTGTATGAGTATATTGCCTGCATGTGTGTAAGTGCACCCGTGTCATGCAATGCCTGTGGAGGTCAGAAGAGGGCTTCGGAGTCCCTGGAACTGGAGTTAAGGATGGTTCGTAGCCGCCATGTGGGTGCTGGGAATCGAACCCAGGTCCTCTGCAAGAGCAGTCATTGCTCTTAACCGCTGAGCCATCTCTCCAGACCTGGTAACTGATTATTTTTAAAGCGAGGTCTCATATAGTCCAGGCTAAGTTTGAGCTGTATACGCAACTGAGTTTGACTGTGAACTGCTGATCGGCTTCCTTCTATCCACCTCTTGAGTGCTGTGGTCACAGATGGGTACCATCTAGCTGGGTTTGTTTGGGGATTGGACACAGGCTTCATGCATGGTAGGCAAACACTCTTCCCTCTGAGCTCCCTCTGCCCTTCCATGCTTTTTTGCTTGTGCCATCATATGTCTGCATATCAGTTGACTGTGTCTGTGAGATCTCATGTGTAAATGATTCTGTCCAATTGTCAAGGCAACATGTGAGTCTGTGTGGTACCCCATATCTGTCCCTCTGTGTGATTGTGTGCCCGACCATCCACTTGTGCCTGCAACATGTCTCAGACACCTGGTATCCTCAGTGTTCATGAGGACATCAGCATGTCTGTAAGTGGGATTCTGTGTCCCAGACACAGTATATGATACGTGTGACTGTCAAGTCTGTGATGGCCTCAGGATTTGTGGAAGTCTATGTATGTGACTGTGTCCAAACCTGTCACTTTGTTTTTGTTTTGTTTTTGTGGTTCTTTTTGAGACAGGGTCTCCCTGTAGTCTCAGTTGACCTGGAACTCACTATGTAGACCAGGCTGGCCTCAAGCTCACAGACATCTGCCTGCCTCTGCCTCCTGAGTGCTGGGACTAACAGGCATGTACCACCACATCCAGCAAACCTGTCACTTCTAAGTGCAAGGGTGTCCTGTTGTCCCTATAATGGATGTATTGTGGAGAGACTGCCATATTATGTATGTGATTACACCTCATTATCCGTGGTTGTATGACTGTCCAACTGTCCATGTGTTGCTGTTACTATGCTGTGACAGTGTTGAGTGTCCACCCCTCTTTTCTGTGTAACTATTCACAACCGTAGTGGGTATTTATTTTGAGATGTGTGGGATGGAGCCCAAGGTCTGTGCCTCTGAACAAGCGCCCTACCACTTGTTATACCCCAGCCCTTGTCACGTGTTTCCGTCATGTTTCTCTGCTGTGTGCACTTTTCCTAGGGTACAAACAAATGTCTGTTTACCCCAGGTATGAGACCAAGGACAGCCTGAAGGAAGGATGGCACCCACATCTAGCTTGGAGAATTGGTGAATTCTTTACCAGATTGTGGGCTACATCATTGGATGTGTTCCCAGAGGGGGTGGGGCAGGCCCTCCCCAAGCATCCATCAGCTGTCTAAATCCTCAAGGGGCGGGGCCTTGTGAACCCCTTTGTCTATAAGTCCTCCAAGGGGAGGTGAGGTATCCTGAAGTCCCTCCCCCAGTAATCATTAACTAAATTCTGAAAAGGAGTTGGAACTTTGTCAAGCCCATCCCCCGGCAACCTCTAATTGTATAAATAAATCCTCAGCTGGGGTGGAGCTTTATGAAGCCACTCTTCCCAGCAACCTTTAACTGTCCTCAAAGGGGGTGGGACCTCATGAAGGCAGGGGCAGCAACTATTAACTGTCTCTCAATCCTCAGAGAAGGGGTTGAGATTCTTGTGCCCCTGCATCCTCTATGATAATGCTATAGGGTCTAATCAATGTGTAGATATCATTGGGGTAATCACTACTGCTGAGAATTCATGATGGCTACAGCCATGTTGTACCGGGAGGTTAGGTCTTAATACTGTCAGTGAATGATTACGTGATACAATGTCTGAGTCCCTAGGTAAGCCAATTTGCAGGAGTCAGAATCAAGATAGCAGGAGAGGCCAGAGACTAACTTGCCCCTCAGCTCCTGCCCCTCAGCTCCAGGCCTTCCCTGGTCATCAGTGTTCTCAGTCACTACCTCCAGTCAACAGCTGCGGCCAGGTGTGCTGCACACACCTGTAATCCCCATTACATGAGAGGCTGAGACAGAAGGATTTCCAAATGTGTGGCCAGCTTGAGCTCTGTACTGGGACCCTTTGGAAGGAGAAATAAAGAAGGGAGAGGGAGAAGGAAAAGAAGCAGAGAATGGAAGGTGGCAGGGAGGAAGAGAGGAGGGAGGAGGAGGAAGGAAGAGAGACAGCTCAGCACGTGCCTGTCATCTCAGCCCTCTGGAGCTCAGAGGCAGAAAGTCATCATTGACTACGTAGCAGAGGCTGGGCTACATGAGAGCCTGTCTCCATAAAAAGACCAATTAATGCAGCTGTGGTGTTTAGAGATGGTGCCTTTGGGCAGTGGTTAGGACTACATAAAAGTCATCACAGTGAGGCCCCATGACTGAGTCTTGGTAGCTTGATAATCCTAGCACTTGGGAGGCAGAGGCAGGCAGATCTCTGTGAGTTCAAGGCCAGCCTGGTCTATATAGTAA